GACCAGGCACAGCCGTGCTCACGCAGCTGTGGGGGTACCTGCTCTGCCAGCCCCTTCGGAAGCCTGCCTGTCCCCACGGCCCAGAACCTAGGCCAGGACCTCGTAACTGTAACCAGTTGAAATGCTTACCTGCCTCCCCCAGGCTTGGGGGGTCCCTGACCCCATCTCCGTCCACCCTCAAAAGTCAGTTCTCTGTCTTCTTTGTTTTCCTGAATCTCCAGACTGGTTGCATTGTAGCCCCGACCAGGCACCGCCAGCCGCATGCCTGCACACACCAGCCGCATGCCTGCACACACCAGCCGCATGCCTGCACACACCAGCCACATGCCTGCACACACCAGAAAGGGGCTGGGTCAGGAGGCAGTGGCTGCTTCTCAGTTTCAGCTGATGACACCGAGGGAAGGCAGGCCCACTGTGGCCGAAAGGTTCTGAGTTTTCAATAGATGCTGGGAATGGGGTTTTTATGAGAAATAGCTTGGTAATTCATTTTTTAAAAAATCAGTGTGGGAGCCAAATAAACCTGTTTGTAGGCCAGCCTGTTTGTACCCTCTGACCTAGCCCTTCCTGCCGTAAGAATTTTCGGGTTTGTCTCTGTTGGCCCACCTCCTCCCCAGCAAATTCCCATTTGTTTGGGGAAACGCAGAAGACGCCTTACTCTCGCTGCAGGACGGGAACCTCCTTCTGGCTGCTTTTTTTTTTTTTTCCCCAGTGGTGGGGGTGCTCTCAACTTTTCCGTGGTGAAGCTACAGGAGCTCACATAACAAATAAAGGCTAGTCAGTCTCTTAATAAGTCACCTTATAATGTCTGGATATTAAGGCAGAGAGATTTAGGATAGCCCAAGCTTGTGCCCGTTCTTCTAAGGACTACTCTGTATTTTAGCAGTGACCTTCTATAACAGTGTGTCTTAAGCTATCTCTGGGGAAGGACCCTTTTTAAAAAATCGCATAAATTAATTATAAAATATGATCATGACAAATTACTAGAAAAATTAAATAAAAGGACACGCAGAATGCAAGCCCAATTATATCTCTATATTTTTACATAAAATTTGTCTGCCAAATTGCTCTAAAGCAGTGGTTCTTAACTGGGAACATTTTGTCTGGTGGGGACACGTGTCAATGTCTGGAGTCCTTTTAGGGTGTCAAAACTGGGAGGAGGATGCTACTGGCATCTAGTGGGTAGCTGCCAGGGATACGGCTAAGCACCCTGCAATGCACAGAAAGCTCCCCACAACAGTCACAGGTCCATGACGTCAGCAGTGCTGAGGTTGTTTCTAATATAGTTTCTCAATCACTCCCCCACTTTCTGCCTTTAACTTTTTCTTGACTAGTGATGAGCACTTCCCAGACCTGCACTGGTCTGAGCTCAACTCCCAGAAATAACATTCAGAGGTATTGACACCTCCTTTCTGATCCAACCCGAAGCGTGAGCCAATGGTGGGGTTTCCAGACAGCTTAGCGTGAATCCAGAGGTTCCAATAGCAGGTGGAAGGCAGACATGTATTTCTTGACAAGACATAACTAACCATAGTGTAAGTCCTCTAGCACACAAATTGAGTGCCTAGGTGTGTCTCTAAACAGCAAAGAAGAAGGAATACCAAATCCCAGGTCACAATGTGGTGCCTCACTGATATACATGAGACTCGTTGCTCTTCTTGGCTCATAGTATTTTAATCAATGTAGCAGGATTTCCCAAATTAATCATTAGTTTCTCACCACTAATCATTAGTGCTTGTTAAAAAATATAGATCTCAGGTTCCCACCCAAGACCTAGGAATTGGAGAGAAGGTGCTATGAATCTGTATTTTTAGTAAGTGCCCCAGGTGAGTGAGATGATTAGAAAAATCTAGAAAACACTAAAAGAAGAGATACCTCATTAGACATCCTCCTGCTACTTCCAAGACTATTTACAACACAAGTCCTGTTGACGTGTTCACTTAACAACTGCTTATTCAGCGCCTGGTTCATGCCTAATGTTGTCCTGGGTTGTGGCTTCAGCAATGGAAAAGGCAGACAGGGGCCCCTGCCCACACTTCGCTTTTACACATTTCCTGTTTATGTCTCCTGTCTGTCCCTCCTCCCAGTTTCTGCTGTCCCTGCCCTGGTGGCGGCACTTGCCATCTCTCAGCCTGATTATGGTGACCGGTCTCCTCAGCTGCGGTTCCACCCTGTGGCCACCCCTGCCTCCGGCTGTCTTTCATATGCTACTGCCTCTCTCCATCTGTCCCAGATGAAACCCCTTCACTGAGTCTTCACTGCCGACGGGAGAAAGTCTACGCTGCTCCTTAGACTTTGGTTTGCAGGTCTTTCACAACACTGGGCATTCTCTAAGGACCCATCTTTCTGAACGGGGTTCGGTGAAGGGCTCCGATGGTGGACAGTCTCTCTGCGGGTCCCTGCGATCCAGTGTGGAAATCAGGCACGAGCTTTGCGATGACAGAGACTGCATTCCAGTCACCGGAATGAAACTCCTCACCTCTGTGTGTGGGCAGGTTACTAAGCCGAGCCTCTGTTTGTTCATCTATAAAAAGGAGAGAATAATAATTCTCGTTCCTATATGTATGAAATGCAACTGGCAGAGTACCTAGTTGATAATATATGTTAGAAATGATAGCAACTCTCATTAATGAAAATGGTCACTTCTGGCTGGAAACATTTCTTAGTCCTTCAAATAGAATTAGCCATCCCCGCAGCTGGGGCTCCTCAGTGCCCCATCTATTTCATAGAACATAAGATATCTAAGAAAGGTTAGCTAGCTCTAACTCTGTCTCCTTCAACTACCTTAAAGTATTCAGAGGGCAAAATTTTACCTTAAATCCTTAGTAACTGCACAGGGGAAGGACCCAGTAATTGAAGAATAAAAGCAAGAAAGAATATAACACAATGCCTTTGTTTAGGAATAAATATGGAAATTGAGATAAGCCAGAAAGTGGTGAGCTCAGAGACCAGTTCCAGGATTTCAATCTAAGAAGTTGTGAATGGCACCTTCCTGGTTGGAGTGGTGAGGGGAGGGAACAGGAGGGCTCCTTGTTCAGGTCTGTAAATTGTCATTTCTGTAATTCACTGTGGTCCCAGCTGGCGCAGGTTGGTCTCATATATCTCTCTGTGTAATTTACCAGAGCTGACCCGACTCACTGTTCTGATCTGCAGTAGAAAGGATTCACTTATTATAATGCTAAAAATTAAAATTAAAAAAATTCAGGTTTTTTTTTTAAATCCTCACCCAAGGATATTTTTCTATTTATCTTCAGATAGAGTGGGAAAGAGAGAGAGAGAGAGAGAGAGAGAGAGAGAAACATTGATGTAAGAGAGATACATCGATTGGCTGCCTCCTGTAGGACCCTGACCAGAGATGGGGGTCAAACTGCAGCCAAGGTACGTGCCCTTGACCAGAATCGAAGCCATGACTCTTTGGTCTGTGGGCCGACGTTCTAACCACTGAGTCAAACCGACCAGGGCAAAAATACTCAGTATTTTTAAAGACGGTTATTGAAGGTTAACTCCTGAAATTCTTATTTATGCTTTCATCACTAATGGATCTCAGTCCTTTATCTGGTAAAACTAAATACAAAAGAGTAGATAGGGAAGGGGGCTCAGAAACCTCATAAAACTTGTCCAGGAGGTCTTAATGTTAATATGTTTAAAAAGCATTAGTGCCCGAGCCGGTTTGGCTCAGCGGTTAGAGCGTCGGCCTGCGGTCTGGAGAGATCCGGGTTCGGTTCCCGCTAAGGGCACGTACCTTGGTTGCAGTTTGTCCCCGGCCCTGGTTGGGTCGTGTGGGTGGCGACCACTCGATGTGTCCCTTTCACGTCGATGTTTCTCTCTCTCTCTCTCCCTCCCACTCTATCTGAACAAAATGTCGAAAAATGTCCTCGGGTGAGGATAAAAACAAAAACAAAAACGTTAGTTGTGGGCATATTAGGAATAATCCATTCTAATTTGGGAGAAAGGTCTGCACTTTCCTTAGTGACAGGGGCTTTCATTATGCTAGCCAGAGAGCATAATTCACCTGCGAAGGAATGATACTAGGCTCATCACAAGAGGAAACCAGGATTTTCTCTTTTCCAGGCTGTTGAAGGATCTGGATTCGATGTGCAGTTCCCTAATGTAGTTGTCATAAATGTGCTTTGAAGTGGTGTTAACTGATTGCTCCTATCGTATCAACAGCTGAGTTAAAAGCTCCTAAGGGAATTTAACTTTAAACATAAAGCTTGTTGGAGGGATGACAAGAAGCAACACTCACCGATTAAGTTTAAATTTACAGTAGGAACATGGCTAACACCCAACTTCCCCCGGCTCGCTGGAAGAAACACAGTGTTGAGAACATTTTAGTCTAAAATCCAAACAAATATCTCACCTTTCTGATTTCCCACCTCCTTTGCTCATAACCACCGGGCAAGGAGGTGCCTACCCTTTTCCCTTCTCCAAACTTGGAATTGTGCAGAAGCAAAAGTCTGAAATCCGACCGGGAAAAGCAATTCGCTTGTCGACCTCTGAAATGTCAAGGCAGCACTGAATGAATGGGCAGCGATCCTCTTCACCTCGGATGCCCTAACATAGGTTCCCTGAGCAGGTATCATATTTAGCTTAGGGCTTCTCAGGCCAGGGCAGACCCTGCCAGGTGATTACTCTGAAAAGCTGGACGCTGGGAAGATCAGGGGCCAAAGCTGGCTTACCTGCCTTGCCCCCCAGGAGGGCTGCTGGGGGTACCTCCGGCCTGTTTCTACCCAGGCAAATTGCCCAAGCTCCTACACACAGTCCCATCCCCTCCCAGCCAGGGCCGAGGGTCCCCGGCCCTGGGGCAAGTGAGTGGCACGCACCCAGTCTCACGCCAAGTATTAACAGAGAGCGGCTGGCACGGAAACCTCAGAGGGCAAAGGCAAAGAAGCGCCCAGCGCGAGCCCCTCCCCTTGCGCTGGCTGTGCCCAGCGGCTGCCAGGTGCACCTGCGGGTCCCTACGGGGGGCGCTGCCTGGGCAACCGCAGCCGCTGCCTAGACTGCAGGAGCCTGGCCGCCTGGGGCAGCCCGGAGTCGAGGAGCCGCGATGAGCAGCGAGCGGGACCCCCAGTGCCCGGCGGACGGTAAAGACCCTGCGGGCGAGGCTGCGTTGTTAGTCTTTAACCTCCCCCCGCGCAGGTTTTAATCTCCCGGGTGCTGGCTGACTTGGGGGGCGAGGAGGAGGGTTATTTCCCTGTAAGGCACCTGGGATGGGTAGGAAGTCTCCCTCTTCGTGGGTTTCTGCACCCTTTCTGCGTCTTTTAGGGTTATTCTTAGAATTCAACAAGCGTTTGTGGAAAGCGCAGAGGACCGCGCGCGAAAGGAGCCGAATGTGCACCGCGCGGTTTGTGAAAACGCAAGTTAGGGTTTCACCGCTGGGGCGCTGCCTTAGACACAGGGGAAGCACCTTCCCTGGAAGAGAGGTGACTGTGCTTCCACTTTGGGACAGGCACAGCACACCCGCCCTCCCACCTCCACCACTACACTACGAACAGGCGTTGAGAGAGGTTACCTTGATCTCACAGAGTGAGGGATACCCTTATTTACATCTGATGGAAGCTTGGGGGTGGGGGGATGGGGTGTTAGTTGTTCAAAGAAAGCGTCGTGGCAGCAGAATTCCCCAAATTGACTTTATAACTCGGTGTCCTGAGATCTCCTGTAAAATAATGGTCTCCAGCTTTTGCCAGGGTCTCAGAATGCTCTGCGCGTGTGATGAAATACCCTGAACCCCTTTCCCACCCGAATTCACCTGTAACATACATTTGGATGGTTGCTGAAGATCTCAAGCTAGACTCCTTAATTGCGTCAGGGTACCTCCTGGTTAAGAATCCCTGCTTTGAGAGGTTATTATTGCTATCCAGGCATTTTTACTAACCAGTTAGTTGCTGACCTTTTAAGTAGGAGCACTGCTCTGTGAATAACTCCTCTTCACATCAGTCACCCTTTCAGAGTGGAGAATACAGCGTAATGAAGCTGCCTGAAGCTGAGACTCTCTGGGGGCTTGGGCTCAGCAGGTGTTTCAGGTACACTGGCCTGGCTTCCCCGCTGATCTGTCCTTTTCTGGGCAGGGAGTCTGCACAGGAGTTGGCAGGGCAAGAACCATTGTGCCGCACAAAACATTTCATTTGTTCCTTTTCTAGTTCCGAGAGATGTTCCCACCATAACTGCTCTGGATGCTCTTTGAAACTTTTTTTTTTTTTTAAACGTTGCATTGTTATTGTTTTCATTATATGGCGTGAAAAACTGGCACTTTAAACTACTGGAACTTATTGTAAAACTATTACTTTTGTGTTCCTAGAGTCAGCACGCACTGTAATTGAAGACATCTGACTATGTGAGAACTGATTGAGAAGTGGAAATTAGATTGTTGATTTTAAAAGTTCCTAATGCTATGTTAGGCTTCCTTATTTGAAGCACAATTGGGCAGGATAATTGTATCTGACTACCTTATAGCCCTGAACCGTTTTGTGAGTTTGCTCTGTTTTTAATTTAATTTGTTTTAAAGCCACACACCCTTTAGAACTCTGATATAAACACACACACACACACACACACACATTCTTCGTAAATCACGTATGTGTCCTTGTAACCAGGCATGTCTGTAGTTTACGAGGATTTCACTAGTTGCCATATGTGAATAGTGAAGTGTGAAATTTAACCTTAAATCTGAATTCCAGAGGATAGGATACTGGAATTCTTAGGCTGCTGTTCCTCTTGAGCAGGTGATAATTCAATAACATATCTAATAACACCCAATTGTGCCAAATGTTTGCTATGACATCTTAAAAGAGTACAGGATATATATCTGTCAGACTGAGTAAATGTCCAAGTGTAGATGACAAGATTGTGCGAGCTGACGTTTGATCCATATGTTAAACAATATGGCCCTGTTGAACTCTGTTGCAGAGTATCTGCTGCAGACTCCACAGTGTGGCAGAATGTCACAGGTAATCCTGTTGCAGACAAGAATGCCTATTCGATGCTCCAGGCTTCGATGTAATTCGTGATCCAAGAGAAGTTTAGGCAGTTCATTATACTAGATTCAGATTTTAATTCCACTAAAATAAATAGTTCTTTGAACTCGAATAATATTTTCCTCTGTGGTTTGAAATAACCCAAACCTTCCACATAATTTGGTAGGCAAGTCATTGCTTTAATTTTACCCAGCTTTGATTCTTTTCGAAACTATAAAAAATAGAAGCGCATTTCAAGTTTTAATGGAAGGGGGTAGAGTGTTTTTGCTGTTGAAAAGCTGACTTCTATATACTGTTATAAATCTGGTATAGTGTAATAAAATTAAAACCATGACATTCAGGATCAAAATTTCTGCATAATTTTTTTTGACCAGTCTTCATCTTTTAATTTTCTTTCTCTCTGTAACTTTTTCACTCTTTATTTATTCTTTTGAATCATCATTTAAATAAAACCCACTGCAGGTAAATTCATTGCCCAGGGGTCATCCCTCACTTAGGATAGAAGTGTTAACATCTATTCAACACTTACTATCTGCTATACTGAACTACAAGGCTATTTTATCTGATCCTCCCTAATCACTAACAAGTCAATGGGAGGGAAACTATTATTATCTCTTTTTTAAAAAAAAGAAAACAGGCTCTGAGGCTGTTAGCTCTGAGCCTTCAACCCAGCCAGTCTACCTCCAGACCCCACACCGCTATCACCTGGCTCCTACTGCCTCCTGCTGGGCCATACTGCTGCCTGTCCAAGGTGACCTCCAGCAGCACCCTATGCAGGGACCTCAGGAAGGACAGATGATGGAGAGGACCCTGGAATGTGGCTCTATGCTCATAAAGGTTCCTACTGATGATAAGCCTGGGGCTCACACTGGCTGGTGCCAGGTAGGAACCCGGGGCAGGAAGCCTCTGGTTGTTAGGCACAAAAGGCAGCTGGCCTCTCTGAGGGAAGAGGGCAGCGTGTCCCATGGCACACGCTTTCTCACAGCCTTTCTTTCAGAGCAGGTTTACCGGTGGTCACGTTTTTCCTAGGTCACTGCAGATGAGTTCATTGTGCCAGGCGGTGGCCTGGGAGCAGGCAGACCCGCAGTGGGCCACAGCTGTTCTCTGTGGGCAACTGTGAGAACAGAGGAAGAAGAAGAGAGCTCAGCACTCTGCCCCCAGACTACTGTCTATATCTGGACACACATTTATCCGCTGCGAGTCCCAGTTTCTTCATCTGTGAAGTAGGGATAAAAACATACACTGTTCAGAATTATTGAATTATTGTGAGGGTTAGGAATAATATGCAGCATAATAAATAGTGTCTGGCAGGCAGTAGGCTCCTGTAAATACACTTCCTACATTCTGAAAACTACATGGAGAGGTTAATGAGGAAATCAGGATATCTAATTAGTAACTGTCTCCTAATTGCTTTGTGTATGCACTTGAGGTGCTTCCAAGGTGGCTACTGTTGAGTATTTATTTCTTTCTTTTAGTACCCTTTTTTTGTTTGTTTGTTTGCAGAATTAGCTCCAGGAACAAGAACCCATGTAAAGCAGGGTGGTTTCATCATCTACTTCTTTTAAAATCAATATTCTTTGGGAATAGATGTGTGGATGAGTAATGTTTAATCTTATATATTTATCTACTTGGAAGACATGCTAATGTTTCTTTTACACCATCTCAGGGAGCACCATGATCATGTTTTCTTTCTAATTTCTCATTGCTTCTGCGGTTTTCTGTCTGAGAAGAGGGATCCTGGGCTTCTTTTCCCAGGATCTGCCTGTAGCATCATTGTTCCCGTCCATGTGGGGGAAAGTCCTTTCAGTCCTGAAAGGCGTCCCTACCCTGTTTTTGAGATTTCCCCTCACAGGCCCTCTAGTCCCCTCCCTGTCAACCAGCCCTGCCGGACCTGATCTCTTCATCTGAGGATGGTAACCCATCCCTCCCCACTGTGGTAGAATGAGATGGAAAAGGGGAAACGCGGGAAAGAACATTTCATCTCAGAAATAGATTCCTCTCCACGCACTTCGCTCGTGACACTCATGGGTTCCAGCGCAGCCTCGTTCTCTTTCCTTCCTGCTCCCCCTCACCTGGAGCTCCCGGGGGTTCCTGAGACTGCCACTCCGATATGACTGGTTCTGTTTTGTGTCCGTTAAGCTTCTTTTCGGGTTCAGAGGGCTCTGTTATGTACAACACCTGGCTATCATTTTGCGCTTTGGGAGCCACCACCCAGATGAAGAAACGTAATTTTTCCATCATCCTGGGGGCACATGTCCTACGTGCCCCAATCCAGTTATAGCTCCTTCCCCCCTCCATAAATAACCCCTGATTTTTATAGTATTTACTTACTTGCATTTAAAAATTTTTTTTTCTTTATTGATTTTAGAGAGAGAGGAAGGGAGAGGGAGAGATAGAAACATTGATGAGAGAGAACATCGATTGGCCGCCTCCTGCATGCCCCCCACTGGGGATCGGGCCCACAACCTGGGCATGTGTCCTGAACGGGAATCAAACCAGCGACCTCTTGGTGTATGGGTCGATGCTCAACCACTGAGCCACACCGTTTGGGCACGTACTTGCATTTAAAAATAATTTAACTAAGTATGCATTCCTAGGCATAATAATTTAGTATTACCCATTAAAAAAATTTTAAAAACATATAAATTTACCCTCTTGTCCTTTTTAAATTCTTATAGCTTATCTGTTGAAGAATCTGGGCCATTTGACCTATAGAATCCTCTACAAACTGAATTTTGCTGCTTTCATGCTCATGGTTTAATATTTTTCTTGAAGTTTACCTCTTTTTTTTTTTAACTCTAGTGTATAGCACCCTAGCCCTTCCACTTGTATAAGTTACATTTCTTAGTCTAATCCTTAAATGCTATAAACAACCATGAGATCATTTTATCTATTAGGCTTTTTATTATTAGACAGTAAATCATTTTACTGAGCTTCTTATATTCATCATTTTCTGCATTAACTTCATTTAGCATCATAATGAGTTGCTTTAAAATTGATACTCTCATTTACAAACTAGTTTCAATATTAGTAATTTGGGAGTGTCACTTGGCAGTTTTGCAAACTTTTACTATTTTAAGCCCTTTTAAAATCTGTTTTCAGAATTTTTC